CTACAAGGGCCACAGAACAGTAGACAACCAAGTGAAAGGGCCACTTCCATGCTGGGTGATTGAAATCAATCAATGCAATCTGCAGGTTTGCGTTTCTCACATCTGCTACATGACACTGTCTTGCCCTCACGTCTTCATCTTTCTTCTACCCTCTCCGTAGCTCACCTACCCATTACCGGTTCCTAAGACTTCATGGTTACCTGGGGGTGAGTGTTTCTTCTTCCAGTTTATATTCCTCATCTTCATCAACTTCTGCGAACAAATTCACAAATATCCAGTCAGCTTTTCCCCAATTCACAGACTGCAATCAGAATGGCTATATATGGCCATGGGAACATAAATATTTTTGTATGAGTCACTGCTGTGCTCAAGTTCCAATGCAATGTCTTTAAATAATTGGCCTGGTCCAGATGTCTGATCCATCGTTCAGTGTGACACCAAACAGCTGGATGACAATCCCGTCCCCTCTACCTGACATGGGGTCGACATTTAAATGGTCTTTGTTCCCTATACCACTGTACAAGTGTCCACCTCCCGTCTCAACCTCTACAACACATTCATCTATCCGGCCAAAAAGTTCTCCCTAGACACAGGCTGTACACCCTTTCACGGCTCTCATAGAGATCCTCTGCTTTGTGAAAGAAGAGGAAAACGACCCTGTCCCACATGCCTCCACGTGCACGGATCCTGGGAACTTCACATGCTCTCTGAGTGTTATCAGTGGAAATTCTCTCTATGGAAATTGCGCACTGAGACAAATTTCCCAACACAACTTCAGCAACGTTCAGTGCCCAATCCAACCCTACACAGTGAAGGGCTTCTCTTTTTCTGAACTGATTCATGAAGATTCCCAGATTAATCACTGCAGCACCATCAACAGACCGTTTGATCCATTGTACAGAAGAGGAACTAGACACTGAAATAGGGAAAATCAATCACTCGCTCACAGTCAGTAAAGGCAACACTCAGGCTGGAGTCTGGGAACTTTGATGCATAGCGCAGGGCACTTTCCACTCCCACAAGCTACCCCCTGTCACATCCTCCTTCCCGGGCTTTAACCCCGGGGGATGCTCTCTTGCCCCAAAGGCCACCGTCCATCAGGGGG